GATGGTCCACGATTCATGACCGTAGGTAAGTATGGGGATAAAGATCGACTTGAATATTGAGAGCTTTGTTAGACTGAGCTCTGATTTAGTCATAGTGGGTCGGGTAATTCACGCAGAATGCCAGTGGATACTCCAATTCGACGGTCGGTCTCTTCCTCCAATTTTCCATCACTAGTGAACGTGACTCCGAGGTACATTAACGTTTCCACCTGCTCTACAGCTTCTCCGTCAATCTCCAATACACTACCATAAATTGATAACCTTTTCACAGAAACATATTGTGTCACCTTGCTCTCGACACTCTGCCATCAGTCGAGAATGTTACGTTTTTTTCCAATGGAATCTCTACAGCCTGGTAGTCGGTTCAGTGTATAGTTTGCTGTTTCCTCCTAACATGGTGGTATTCATTTATTTGCTTTGGAAGTTTAAAGAACAAGTTTCCTAGACTTAGATTTAAACCAGCGATCTAGCGCCTGGGAGGCTGATATTTTACCATATGAGCTATCGTAATCTAAATATAAATTCGACAGAAAGCCACCTCTGCGACCTGTTCCCATTTATTAATTAAGTTGTGATCAGTGTTTCACTTCAATATGGCAACATGCTAAACATCATTCTGTCCTCACACGAATGACAATATCTATTTATAAATCTGGATAACACCCATTTTTGTCACCAAATTTTCCATATTTTTGCAATCGAGGTGATGCGAGGGATCATCGATTTCTCTCGATTTATATTGTCCGTCAAGCGCTTTTCTAAACTTCTAGTCATTTTTACCACCTGCTATTATCATCACATGGAAAAATTTCACAATGATTGAGTCAAAGGCTGATATGGATGGTGGACCACTAATCCATCTGTTATGAATTGTTGTCACAGTGTCTTTCTCCTAAACAGATTTGCTTGAATCGTGCAAAGAAGTCGGTCAATGTTGGATGACTATTGCCCGTTAACTGATTATGTCAATTCAGCTGAGGAAAATAATTTCAACCAACTTCGCCGTGGACTGCGATCCCTTAGGCTTGTCCTTATGCAGTCTCCGTAACGGGGTCACCCAGACCTGATTTTTGCAAATTATGTAGCTTCACGATAGATAATGTAGTCAGTCACTGGACTGAGCATTTTAACTTGTGCGTTGTGCATTTGTTTTTGCAATATGACCACCAACGCACGAACAAAATGTTAGAACATATAGCTTGAAGCATTGCGGATTTACTGTATAAGTGGTTAATGCTGATTCGTAGGATTTAAATAGCACAAATGCAGCGCTCTAAATGCTTTCTCTGAAATGCAATTGCGGCTAATTTCTGCGACAGGTATCCTGAGCAAACCCTGATTGGCGAGGGGGTAGTTTGGGTTATACTGTTGGTTGTTTGGTGTTTATACTACAATAAACAAACATACGACCAAAGGAAATAGAAATAGCTTAAAATCATGAAATTCTAACCTTCAGTAGTAAGCAAATTAATACGGATCTCGATGGCCAAAAAATTTCTAGGGTCAACACCAAGATAATCAGCGTCATTTTCACCGAAAAGAACCAGGAGCCAGTCGAAGCCTATTCATATGTTTTTCCAGATTTTATTTGCATATCAAGAAACCTTAATTTCTTAAGGAATGTAATCTAACAAGTTTCGACTGAGAAATTTGTAGATATTCGTGCATATGGCCCGCCATTGAGTCACACGCATAAACGTGGAAATCAGACACAATTAATCAACATAGAAACATATTACTTAGCTTAAATTGTAAGCTTTTGTTTTCAGTCAGAAATGTTAACGTGCTGCAACAGGTTACTGTCCCTGTCATTGACGTGCAACTGTGCAACAGTTCAGAGTATTATCATGGAAATATCGATACTAGCATGCTCTGTGCTGGATATACGGAAGGAGGAAAGGATGCTTGTCAGGTATCACTGATATTTATAAATAGGATTTCACTGTTCAAATTTCAGGGTGATAGTGGAGGGCCGTTGATTTGTCTAAATGAAGGACGCTTGTGGGAACTTCATGGTATCGTCAGCTGGGGTTATGGTTGCGCCTTGCCGTTCCGACCAGGGGTTTATACTCGAGTCGCGAAGTACATATCGTGGATTTCAGAAAACATGAATTTAACTGCAAGCAAATTAATATGAAGCAAGAATTATTCGTTCTTTGATGTTGATAAATGCGAATGGTTTTTTAATATTAGTGCTGAAATCCAAAAGGAGAATTCAGATGTGCCAGTCACATCGTCGCATTAAATAAATTGTTACTTTTGAATTTGTCGCGAAACATTTGTCATACGCAGTTAGTTTGCCTCATTACTCATACCACTGGTTTGGATTAGCTTTGCCGCCTATATAGTCAACTGCTCATTTACCGTCGTTAGGTTGTCGCTCGATACTCCATAGAGCGAGGAAAGTCCACTTTGGAGGGCTATGCCTAATGCCTCTTTTTACCGCTTACTTTATGATGGGAAAGAGTAAATTCTTCGTTCAGAATACGTAGCATTTTGTCCATTTCTGCATGATGTTAAGTTCCCGACCGATGTTCAATAGTTTGACCTACCATTAGCATCGTCGCGATTTAGTGTTAGTACTTTTAACTAGTTGATGACTTGGCCTGGTGCAAATGTATGGAAAGAGTCTATTCCAGACTTCAGTTGTCTTCTGCCGAAGCTCAGACTCTGGCACAGAATCGGGAACATTGGAAGTACTGTCTGACGCGTCTGCCTCCGTGACCGGAGGAAGAAGCGACCATGGAAGATGAACGAATGAAGGTTTGGCAATAAACCGATTAACTGTGCCGATTGTCGATTTAATTTGCGCATCCGTTCTGTGCCTTTGCTGAACACTGGAGTGTGTAACTTTAACGTAGAAAGAAATGAACAATTTTCACAGACGACATTTTTCTTGGTCCACGAGCAGTTGTAGCAAAAAGTTTTCCCTTGTCTATCGCCTGACATTCGGGCCTGTCACAGAGAAGCACCGGATCAATTATCGAAGCGAAACGACCGCTTGTCGCCGCATGGCTACGTGCTAAACGTTCTGTGTATAACCAGAAGTGTTGCTTGGTATACGAAAGTGGTCGCAGTGTGATAATCATCGCGTTTATCAAATAACAGATGGCCAGTGCCTCGGTTGTTCGTGAAATTCTGCTTAAGATTACTAATCACAGAAAGCCGAACATCAATGGCACTAGCGCGCACTTTCGTACTGCACTACAACGGTCCTAGTGTGCTATACGTCGTCTTGCCGGTTGTACACCGATTCAGTATTGCAATAAGT